AGGGCCCCGTCCTGCAGCGCCCCTGGGTGCGGCAGCTCATACTGTGAACACAACCCCCTTTTTTGCAGGGGTGGGGTTTTTTATCCGCAGCTCTTTGACCCGAGGGTTTCCCCAGCTTTGGGCTCCCCAGGGCCTCTGCAGTTGCTCTGAGGTGTTCAGAGCTGAGCTTTGAAGGTATTTTTCAGTCCTCTCCCATCTGCTGCTCCCTTGAGGCTGTGGAAGGGGGCTTGTGCTTTCCCACGTGGGCTCCTCACTGGATGGAGAGGCAGGACTCGGCGCGTGGGGGCTTCTTTTTCCCCTTATTTCAGGGAAATTCCCTTTTTGGAAGCAGAGAGCGGCATGTACCATCTTTGTAGTGCTGTGCTGGGAGGCAGGCATGGAGAAAAAACACCCGGGGGGCTTGGGGAGCCGCTCCTGGAGGCCACAGACCTCTCGGGAAGCCATTGGTGCTCCCACTTTTCACTTCTGCCTCAAGTCCTCGCCATTACTCCCTTCCCTTTTTCAAAGCCTAGAGACCCAGGGCTCCGCTCCGCTGGGCTGGGCTGGACCCAGGCTGGTGCCAGGCTCTCCCCTGGTAGGGCTTGATGTGGTGCTGGTGCGTCCCAGCACTGTTAAACTGGGAAAGGTGGGAATCCGCCAGCTGGGATGTGTCCAAGGGCCGGGAGCTCGGCTTCGTCTCCCTCTGTGACCCAGGGGCTCTGTGGCACCTGGGTCCCTCCCTGCATCTCTCCGCTGGGCTGGGCTGGACCCAGGCTGGTGCCAGGCTCTCCCCTGGTAGGGCTTGATGTGGTGCTGGTGCGTCCCAGCACTGTTAAACTGGGAAAGGTGGGAATCCGCCAGCTGGGATGTGTCCAAGGGCCGGGAGCTCGGCTTCGTCTCCCTCTGTGACCCAGGGGCTCTGTGGCACCTGGGTCCCTCCCTGCATCTCTCCCTCCGCCACGGGCCCGGATTCAGCCCCACTCTGTCCCTCTGGTGCTGCTCCAGCCAAAGACGACACTTCACCTCATCTCTCTCTTTTTGATACTTTCTTTTTTTAAAAGCAGTGGGGTGTTTTTTTCCTCCTTAATAAATTTCTACCTGTATTTAATGAGACACACAGCCTCTTCTCCCTTCTCGGGCGCCAGGATGTGGCGCTTTTGGGGAGTTCCGTTTGTTTTGGTGATGGTCGGCGTGGCAAGGCAAGAGGTGGGAGTGCCTGGGTCCCTCGTGCAGGGCTGAACCGTCCCCCTGTCCCCCCAAACCCCAGTCTGGGATGGTGTTTGGAGGGTCTTGAGCAGAAGAGGAACCCAAATGCTTGGAGTGGAAATACCCACGGAGCCTCCTGAGCCTGGCCAAGGGCAGAGCCAGCCCTGCCTGTATCCCACCCTGCACTAAATGACCTGGGGATGGATTTGCCCTGTCTCCCTTGAATCCGAGATGCCGGGGGGGTGTTGGATGGCTACTGTCACGCTGGCTGGTGCCCTCCCTCTGGCTGTCGCGAGGAGGGCGTAGTTGGAGCGGGGCAGGAACACACGCAGGCTGCGTACAAAACCACCACCGTGTCTTTATTTGCTGCTTCACAACAGCCCCAGGGGGTTGCAGAAGGCTCGTCCTGGGCCAGCTGGGGGTCTGGGGTGGGACACTGGTTGGGGCAGCCCCCCCCCCCAGGGGGACTCTGCAGTGTGCAGCTGGGGGTGGCCGTGGGCTGGGGCTGCTCTCCAAGGGCTCTGGGAGGGTGGCTGCCGGGACCCCTGCCTGGGCTGGGGGGTTGCTCTGGTCCCTTGGTGTGCTTCACTCGTGGTGGTGGGAAGGGGTGCAGGGCTGGGGGCCCGTGAACGGACGGGCTCTGCTGGGCTTCTCAGCGAAACGTGGCTGTGGGCACCCTTAAACCAGCGGAGCCCCCCCAGCTGCTCCTAGGGCAATGCCTTCCCATCCCTGTGCTTTGCTGGCGCAGCCCCAGCTGAAGCAGGATTGGGGGATCGGGGCTTCCAGCAGGACCAGGTGGGAGATTCCCAGCCCTGCAGGCTGGGATCTCCTGGCTGGAAGGCAGAGGTGGCAGAGGGAGTAGCTGTAGCCGGGTATAGCTGCGGCAAGGATGGAGAGGGGTTGCATCCCCTCCCCAGCACCCCCGGGAGGGCTCGGCGGGGGGCTCAGCAGCCGCTGTTCCTGCGCATGAAGGCATGTCCCCGCACGGGGTGCTGCATCTCGACGAACGCCAGCTCACCCACCATCACCTCGCAGGGGCCCAGCACCTCGAAACCGCATTTCTGGTAGAAGGGGACGAGGAAATCTTCACACATGAGCAGGGCGCGGCGGG